TCTCCCCATAACTCCAAGGGATTTGACCGGAATTAACCCACGAAGTCAGCTACCAAAAAAATCTGAAAATTTGCCCACAACTTATGTTATAAATATTGTCATTTATTATCCAAACTATAAAATCACACAAATCACTTATTTAAATCTTAACAATTACCTTGAAACTGAATAATATTGGTAAACCGACTTGTTAGGTAAACCGACATATCACACTAATTATGAGCTTAATACGTAAGGGTGTCCCATTCAATATACTCGAGATTGGCCTAGTCAACTTTGGTGCCCAACTTCAAGATAAGTTTCACATTTGACAAAACAAATTGGAAAATGAAGAAATCCATTGCCAGTCCATCTGTTATCACTGTAATTCTGGTTAATCTGCTGCTGCCAGATAAAACATTTCGGCATCCAAGAGCTCAGATGATTATGGTCATGTGTGCATGGCGAATTCAGAATGGAATTTAAAAAAAAAAAAAAAAAAAATTAAAATCGAGTTAATATGTATATAAAAAAATTCACATAAATTTTGCTTACCTAAAAATAAAATAAAATTTATAACCCCTTACATTGGCCTCTGCATGTGTGGGAACCAATTTATGATAACATCTCGTAAGGCCTTTGATCCCCATTATTTAAAAAATCATTTTTTTCTAAACTCATTTTCAACCACATTCTCACAATAAAATATTTTCACGTAAATTCAAACTTTTTTTACTACTTTTAACCATGTATTCTCCAAATATTCGCTATTACTGAACTCATTTTCAACAAAAAAAAAAAAAATGGAGCTCAAAAATAGGCTAAGTATGCACTAGGGTTGATACCTTCCGTCCCTCCATTCCCCATTCAGGAAAAAAAAATGTATAATGATTTGAAAACCGGAAAAAATAGGCCAAACCAATTTACAAATCTACATAATTGCGACTCCTTTGAAATTGATACATCTTGTAGAAAACTAATAATATAAGCCCATATTTGTCTATCATTATTTCATGAAAATGAGTTTTAAAATAGTGATTTTTTGGAGAATGTGTGGTTAAAAAGAAAAAAAAAATTTGAATTTACGTACAAAATATTTTATTGATAAAATATGTGATTGTAAATGAGTTTGAGAAATAAAGAATTTTGAAATAATGATAAGACATAATTATGAAAGTCAACAAATAATAGTGAAATTTATTTCATGAAAACAATGGTCAACCTCTTTTTTCTTGATAAAGAATTATGTAACTACAAGTAAGTTTCACATGGCTCCTCTCAATTAACCAAAAGTCAAATAGAGATCATTTTAGTTGAACATTTCACATTAAGTTTTAAAGAAAGTTTTTTGAAAAAAATTTACACCATCTGTTCTATAAAGATAGTCACGTTCTCCTTTTTCTGTCTGTCCCAAATTATAGTTATGTTTCTTATTTGAGAGTGCAGTTAATATATATTAGTTTCTAATATACTCATATTTAACGTGTTTTGTTATTACAAATATAAATCACTCTATTAATCAATTGTAGTTTGAACAAGAAATTAAAAATTAAAAAAAAAATTCATCATTCATGACATTTATTCATTTGTATTTGGAGTATGAAAAGGCTCTTATATTGTCATCATTTATTCATCCTTGAATATTGGATGACTTTCGAATTTTAGTTACCTTGATTCTTGTATTAAACAATTACTAGTACCAGAATAGTTTAATTACCTTGAATATTGTATACATAATTTAATTACCTTGAATGCATTAATGTAGAGGTATATTAGGAAAAATGACACTCCATCTGTTTCATTTATATAGGTTGCTTTTGTTTTTCACGTGAATTAAAAAATCTTATTTAATGTTTTTGAAAAAACAATTTTTGTACTTTTTTTTTCTAGTTTACCATTATTTAATTATTAACAACTAATAGTATTTTGTTAGAAGTAGTAAAAAAATAAGAGTATTTTAGTAAATAAACTAAACAAAATATTCTCAATAAAGAAACAAGACATTATAATGGGATAAGAAAATTAGAAAAATCGGTCTATATGAATGGAACAGAAGGAGTAGTAACATTTATTATTTCAACTATATTAATTAAGTTTTTTTAATCTGTGTGAAAAAAATAGGACTTTTTTTATAGAACGGAATGATTATCAACTAACTGTTGGAAATTGGAACAAGAGTTCGAAAATATTATTTTCTATTCACATTATTTTTGCGAGATATTCACATGTATGATATAATCCATAAAGATAGATTAGAAATTTACTCAAATCTATATTCAATTTTTTAATAGGATTTAAATCACGAACTTCCATATTTTTAATTCACGAACTTGGCGCTTCCAACTTTCAAGTCTTCTATGATATTTTCCCAAAGTATAGACTACATTGACATATGAGCATCTTTTAAATTAAATCAAAACATTTTTTCTCCCAAAACACGTCTCACTTTTTTCGTTAAAGAATTTGGCCCCCTCTGTGTTGATATATAGACAAAAGCAGGACTGATCTCCTAAGCATCGATTACTCAAATAACATAACATACTACAATAGGGGTGTAAGATAATGAGTGATTATAAAATTAATTACGCCACTTATTGTAGTGTACTATGCCATTTGGTGCTTAACGTAATTAAGTTCAAAATTTTCAAAGTAATTGCAATTGAAAAGCAATCAAAGAAATCATGCACTTAATTCAGGTCAATCCAAGGAGGATTCATGAATTTTTCTTTACATATTATCTTGAAAAACATAAAGGGTCGTTGATTGGTTTAAATTTCATGAAAAATGTCACATTCGAGAAATTCAATTTTCATTTTAGCTGCTTGATACGAAAGTGGAAATGAAGTTCGAATTTCAAGATACAACCACTTTAGGCTTGTTTGGAGTACTTGAGTTTTTATTTTCCAACTTACATGGAATTTGAAAGCCTTTCCATCTTTGCCAATCAAACAGACTCTAATTGTAGCCTTTTAGTTGTATGGACTATGTAGCATTGTTTATATAAAATTGGATACATTTTGGAGCTTCTTCAATTCTTTGTCGGTTGTTCGGTATTAGTTTTTACCGATCAACAAATTATTTAAAGCTAATAGTTATACATGTTAATGAGAATGAAGTTTGAAAAAGCTTGCCTTGCCTATGTCCCATGACACAAAACAAGAAACATCGGCTTCTTAACAACCTTAATAAAATGAGATGAAAATTCTAAGAAACAGGAGCAGACCTATGAAATTTTTCCAAGTAAAAAAAATAACATTGTAACACAAACATTATACTAAAAATTAAATTACCTTACAATTATTCTTTATGAGTTTTCGTACTTTGATATCTTTGTTTCATTATCAATCTTTAAGAATATATTTTAAAGATGCAGAATATGCATAAAACCAGAGGAAGTAATGCGTAAAATGTACACATTCTGTGTATATGATATTATAATCTCAAGTAGTAGACCAATTCAAATGAAAATAAAACCAGGCATAAAGAGTTTGTTAATGTAGTGTTTGAGGGTGATTGTTAAAAAGAGGCATAAATGAGGGTGATCCAAAGTTCAATGTAAACATATGCGTGCACTGGGCCTTCATTGGGTCAGCGCTTGCTGAGAAATCAAGAATATGAGCCTAAAATAAAGATCAACGGGTTGTGATATGTTTGATATGCTGTGTGCATATAACTTCGTGATTATAAACATGTAGACTTTGTAGTGAAACGATTCATCGTGAATCATTTTGGTGGACCTAACAGACAACGCATCTATTTGAACACTAGTTGAATGATAAATGTTACATCAACTATAAAATAAATGAAATTTACTTCGTAACCAATAAAATTATCGTGACACTAAATACTAAAGTAGATAAGGTTCCACTGGTAGTTAGCCCCAAAGAGGCATGTCTAGCATTGGTTACTATGTCAAAGTTCCAAGTTCCATTTTTTTTGTCAAAATGTTTGTTAGGCTGTTGGTTTGCCTTGTTTTTGTCATGGAACATGGGCTGTTTGACCCCCTTTTTTTAGGTAGAATAAATTTTGAAATAGTAGATTGATGGGGGACGTGTGATTTATGGAGGAAACGTTTTTGGGTTGCGTATAATATTATTTTATTAAAAAATATGTAATTGAAAAGAAACGAGAGAAAAATATATTTTGAAAAAAATGAGGATCAATCAAGATCATTAAATTCTTGTCTAACTTGTTACCTTTGAGAAATTGAGTAAATAGTCCTATTGAGAAGGATATTTTATAGAACTCTATATATCTAAATGGCCGCGATCCGCGAGTCATTAATTAATTATTTGTATATTTTCTCAACGAATTTCATATACTAAGTTGATATGTTAAAGAAAAATATATTAGAGAATATCATAAATCAATTTGAAAGATGGTCACGCATCGATCCATGAAAGGTCAAAGTTTAAGGGGTCGACCGAGTTCAAATCCTTTATAAAAAAATGTTAAAAAGTTTAAGGGATTCAAAACGAATTCGGAAAATTTGAGTCCGGACTGGGAATTTTGACTTCTGTCCTTCTAACGTCCGTTTGTCCTTCCCATGTAATTTTTGCAAACTTAAGGGGCAATTAATGATCTTGCTTTCTATAAATTCCCCATTTTAGTCCATTTCAAAAACCCCTACCCCTTTCTCTCTCCTCTCTCTATCTCTTGTGTGTGTGAAATTCACACAGTAAAACCCAGATTTCTTTCAGATGTTCATCTGTTTGTGTATGTATCTGTATCTATATCTGTTTCTGTTCCTATTATAAATTTTATTTCTTTGTTTTTAGTAATTTTTTGTATAAAATCGGTATTTTAATTTTCTTTGTCGTTTCCCTTGAAACGGTGTCGTTTATGTATTAAAAATGAGATTGTCTGTTGAATAATTTTTTAATTGGAATTATCTTTTCTTTTTTAATTTTTTAATTGGAATTATCTTTGTTGTTTGCTTGTTGAAGGAAAAGGAGGTTGTGTAGCGTTACCATTGGGTGCATTAAGGAGTATGCAATTGTGGTGACGTGGAATGTGCTGGGGGATCCACTTGTATGCATAATGTACCACTCACTCCGTCAAGTTTCTCCGTCAAATAAGCGTAAAGAGAGAGATGACGGTCCTAACGTCGTGAAAAAACCGTCAACATTCACGACTAAAACATTAGCCAAGCCGAGCATTCATAGACCAGCAAAAAAGCCGGTTGATCAGCCAGCTTCAAATAATACGCTTCTGGCTGGGTATTTAGCCCACGAGTTTTTGACTAAGAGTACCTTATTTGGTCAGCCTTGGGATCCAGCTCCAGCCGAAGCCGTTCCTCTGTCGATAAATCAGAAGCCCTCTCCGAACCAGAAAATGGAAAATGAGCCGCAAGCGAAAGCCGAGAAAGAGGATGAGAATTATCTGAGATATATGGAAGTATCGCATTTGTTGAAATCAGATGGGGCCCATATACCAGGCGTATTCAACCCGACCCAATTCACACGGTTTTTACAGTAGCTTTTACTTTTTACAGTGATTTTTAGATTTTTTTTTTCCAGTTTCTGCATGATTTAATTTATGGCCAAAAATAAATTCTATGTTGTAGATTTGGGTATATAGACACAGTTAGTTTGAATTGATGAATAAATTCTTTTAAAGTCTTGATATAGCATATAGATTAAAATCAAATTTTTAGTTAATTTAAAAAAAAATGATAAAATATATAATTGAAAAGTTATGAATCTCATGAAACGTTTAAAAATTAACTGTTGACTTTAATTTAAATTTAAATTTTAATCCTTATCAATTATGAGGAAATCGCAACTTAACATCATTACATAGTGGTTGCAATCGGAATTTGCCATTGGTTGATATTGAAAGGGATAATTGCAGCTGATGTCCCAAACCTTTCAAATCGTAAAAGTTAAGGCTACAAGGGACGGTTTCCATCTAATCTTTAGTTAGTTGATACAAAAAATTAATTTTGATCACATTTTAATCAATTTTAAAATGGCAAAACAGTAAGTTAATATTTTTCCCACAAAATAATTAAAAATTTAAATCAAAAATAAAATAAATAAGAAAAAAAACTATCTTCTTCATCAACCCCAATCCAAAATAAAAAATTTGCCACTGATCATCATCGTCGCCATTGCGTCATTGCCATCGCCACTGCCACTGAACTCATGCAATGCTTTGTTTAATCAGTCGTCGCTTCAGTTCTTTGCAGTATATTAGTCCGACAGTTTCAACATTTATCTCAACATCCTCACATTCATCGATTTCAAGATAGGGAAAGATAGGCTGATGTTTTGATATCTTGTAGGAAAAATAACTGCTATTGTCCATTGGATCGTGCTTCAGTGAGGGGGGTGGGGGTGTGACACCCCTCCTGACAGAATACACACATTGGGGGGAGGGAGGCTTTTTTTTTTTTTTCCATTTTTTACTTCACGCGGGTCCCACGTCGGTCCCACGCCCTTGTGAGGGTCGGTCACCGAGGTGGGCAGCCCTCTTCTGTCACTGAATCATTTTCCTTGTCCATTAGTGTACTCATGTGGATACGCAGTTTCACAACAAATCCCTACTTTCCAAGCAAAATTACATTTAGATCATTGGTCCCTGATTCACCAAACTCAATTGAAACCTTCCTTGGCACATTTTCAATCTTCGGTCGAGGCGTCTTCTCACTCATCTCCGAAGAATTAAGAACAGAAGCGTCAAACCTACAAGTTCTTTACTCGTTGGTTACGAAACATGTCCTCTATTTTGTTGTTCTTGGTTTTTTCTCATTTTCTAAAGTTTGCTTTTTCTGAACTAAAGTGCCAACAGTAACATCATCAAAAAATCCATCTAATTTCCACTTGAAATGAATCTAAAAATGACAACAACGACTAGTTAATGATAGCTCTCTCTGGACAAGAAAACAACGAGGCTGGAGTAGATTTCTGAAAGAAAAGGAATTAAGGGCTACTGATATTATAGCTTTCTACAAGTATAAAAGTCGAGACAAGAAGAGAGATTGTACAGATCTTCATAATTTTCCCCAAAATGATAAATCTCCTACATTCTACCAATCCGTTTAACATCAAGAACATAACCTGCAATTCCGCATCGACTACCAAACAGAGACCCCAAACGGCAAGAATAGCCAAGAAATGGCACCCATACATACACCCAACAAATTGAAGAACAGAGGCCAAACCTTACCCAACAAATATGATATAGAATAGCAAGCAAATAACCAAAGATTACCATAAGCAAAGAATCAAAACCTCGATTTGAAGATGCGCAAACTTCATTCAAACAGTCGTAGAGAAGCCTTCGATTTGACAAGACGATCTCAAAACCTTGATTTGAAGATCTCGTAGAGAACCCTTCGATTTGGGTTGTGGGTTTGAGAGAGACGAAATTGAT